CTCCCTATTGAATTCTTCATTAAATTTTACTTTTATGTTCTCTTCCTTTAATGTTGCTGAATTTAACTTCTTTGCTACTGCCTTTTGCTTACAGGTTTTCAGTTTAATTATTGCTTTCACTACAATTGGATTATGGTCAGAATTAATATCTGCTCCAGGATATGACTTGGCTTGTTTTATAATATTCCTGAATCTTTCCTTTATCAAAATGAAGTCTATTTGATTCCTGCATATGTCCCCTGGACTTTTCCATGTATACACTCTTCTTGCTGGATGTTTAAACAGGGTGTTGGTGATTATCAACTTATTTTCCTCGCAAAACTGAATGAGTATCTCCTCTTTTATTTCTCTTACCAAGTCCATGTTGGCCCATGCTTTCCGATATCTTCTCATTGCCCACTTTTGCATTAAAATCGCCCATAACTAAGATTATATCATTTGATTTTGCCATTTCCACCGATTCCTTCAGATTTTCGTAGAATAACTCAACATCATCTTCCTCATGTCCAGCTGTGGGAGCATAAACCTGGATTAGTAGAATGTCTAAGGTTGTGTACACACTAGGTGTTTTTCAACGCGTGTTAAATGTGCGTTTTAAAGAACCAAGAGTTCTATATAAGCGTACACACTCAAACGTGCGCTTTTGGCCAAGCGCGCGTTAAACGCGCATTTATAGATTTTTTTTAAAACGCGTTTTGTGGGCGCTTTGAGATATATGTGCTGCCATGTTACTGTACATTCGATCGCGCGTTTTGTGGGCGTCAGCCGAGCGCTTTGAGATATATGTGCTGAAATGGAGAACGATCATTTCGATACTGATCTGTTTATTGATGAAATCTAAAAGAGACCAACTATCGTCAAAGGATTTCATAGATATTTTAAAAGAATTAAAAATCTTGGGTTCATTTTGTCTTAGTTTTGGATACAACGTCGCAAACATTACATGCGTCAGTCTATCTCGTAATATTGGGTGCATCCAAAATTCTCTTTGCCTCTGCCATCATCTTTTATAGCAACGATGGAGGAGGGGCACACAAGCAATTACTTTCACGTCCATTTCCAAACTGAGCCAGTGCGTATGCTCCAAAAACGCTTGTCGAACACCGAGTTAATGCACGTTTAAAAACTCCTAGTGTGTACACAGCCTAAAGGTTGAGCAGCTATCTTTACTGCAATGATTCTCTCATTGACTGCAGTGAAACCTTTTATTGCTCTTGCTATACTATTCTTCATTATGATGGCTACTCCATTTACATGTGTCTCTGCTCCTGAGTACATCATTGTATATTCATTCTTGTAAAGCATTCCTGAACCTGTCCATCTTGTTTTGCAAATACCTATAACATCTAGCCTCATTGACTTTATTTCTTGAATGAGATTATCAAGTTTTTCCAGTTCATACAGTGTTCTAACATTCCAAGTTCCTATGTTAAGTAGTACATTCCTGGTCTTCAGTTTGGAAACTTCTGATATCATCCTCCCAAGTGGGGTTAAGATGGCCTCTTCATATTCTCTAATATTAGAGTCAAACTTACTGTTCTCAGGACATGACTCCTCTTCCCTGTAGCATACAGTAGAGATACAGTTCGCAGGGGGCTCGACCTTGTCTCTAGAACTAATTCTTTTAGTGGTAGCGGTTCTCATGGTTTACTATGGTGGAGAATACGTGGTGAGGCTCCAATCTCTTCCATGGTGACTGGCCACATCTCACTTTGGATGCCAAGAATGTGTCCTTAGTATGTCACCTACTTTGCAGTCATGCCCATTACACCATTGATCTTTGATAGTAGATTCTTCTGCTGCTTTGGCCATTCCAGATTTCGTGCACTATAGAGTGGCACACCCTAACTACCAGTAGCAGATGGCACTACTGATACCCTCACTTAGTTTAGCCCACCAGCCGAGGCGGTTTCCCAGGGTGTGGCCGTTGGCATGCACTACCAACTACTTGGAGCCATAAATGAGAGTTGGGTCCTCATGGGGAACAGTCTACGGTGTCCACTTTTTCAGTGCGGCTGACACTTTCAAAAGTTACTACCCCTCTAAGAACCCCATTCACAAAAAATATTTTTAAAATTTATAAAAGTAAAAAGAAAATGAAGTATTTTATTCCAGAAATATTTATAGAGAGATTAATATTGCATAAGATATATTGACATTTTTTAAAATAAAAATTGTAATAAATTTATTATAAAAATGACAATTAATGAATCAATTCAAACACATTACTATTGTACAAGATGTTGCATATAAAACCAGGCTGCCTTAAATAACAAAGCTTTGGTTATGGAAGCTTCCATATTGTTTTGTAAAATAAAACAAACTTTTCAAAGAGTTTTTGTCTAATTTTTTTTTTTGTTTTGTTTGTAAAAAATTCCTTTCCAATACAAAGATTACAATAACTTATGCATTTGGGGAACATAACTGATTTTATGCTGGATGCCCTTTATTATTGTTGCTATGATAAAATTGTTTTTTTTTTAATAAGCCAAATGATTGTTGGATTTTTGGGCTACTTTATTGCTACTATTAATAATGAAATATTAAGTAATTAGTAGTGGTGAAGTAGCCCCGAAATCCAGCAATTGTTTGACTTATTACAAAAATATCAGGCTTTTAGTTGTTTTTTTAAATGAAAAGATATTTTTCTCCTCTTGATTGGCATGATTTATAGCTAAAGTTTGATGCAAGTAGACTTGAGAGATGTTCAAAATTGACAAAGATGATTAATCTCTCTAGAAAGATTAGAAATAAGATGCTTGCTCCTAACTCCTTAACAAGAATTATCATTGTTTTAAGTTAAATCCTCACTTTTTTTAATAGTAATTTCATAATTATATATGCATTTTCTTGAATGATAAGTCATACTTCAATGTAGTACAGTACTTTGATTTTGGAAAACATCACTATGAAAGTAGGAAGTTAATTTTAGTTATAAGTTGTATCTTAAGAGAGACTAGACTTCTCTAATACAGAAGATAATTAAAAAAAATATTAGCATTGGACTAGGAGGCACATTTCTTGATCTTTTAAAATAATGAGTATAAACTTGCAATTATTAGTGTATTTTTATATGTATAGGCATTCCCTCATATAACACGGTAGTTAGGTTTTAAAAAAGTGCCACGTTATGTGAATCTGTGCTATACAAAACAAAGGATTATTGCTAAACATAAAGGTTAGGTTTCAAAAGTTAACAAAAGTATACTATTCTTTTTCGTTACTGAGAGAAATGTGTGTATTAAAGCAATCGATAATTAACTAACAATCACAATTAAAAATAATGTATTACATGTTATTAATTTTAGTTAAACAAGGCTGTTTTCTTTTTACAAAGTATTGCCATCATGTGAGCTTTTTTGTTGATCTCAATCAGAGATAAATATCAGCGACATCATTTTTTATGGATGAGAAAATAAAAATAATGTTAATTGAAAATTTATTCTAGAGGGTCGTGTTTGTTTAGTCTTGTACAGAGTGATTTTTCCACCCCAGAATGTTTGAATACCAAATTTTTCAAATTGGGAACAGTTCAAATACCAAGATATTGCTGTGTTTCGTTTGTCATTTTTATAAATGATTACCTATTTATGGTTTAAAAAAATTTAATAACACTTTTTTAAAAATGTTTAAATAAACTTTACTAAAAACAAAGTACAGTGACAATCTTAAAGCAACGATGACTACGACATCCAGTTGATAGGAAAGCTAGGACAGGGAAGAAAATGCTTGTACTATCAGTTTTCTTTAAAGTAAATCTGACAAAAGGCACAAAACAAATTGAAAATTTTCAATATTATAAAATCTCGGGGCAAATTTGAAATGGCACGTATTCCTACTTGAATAAAAAAATATTTTCAAACACCGGAGTTCACACTTAGAAATTATGAAATTTTGTATGGAGCATGTTTCAAATTCTCAAATTGTGTTGAGGAAATGCCGTGTTGTATGAGGGATATCTGTACATACATTTTTAGTGGTTTGTTTTCTGTTGGATTTTACTTGTGTTGGATTGGATTTATTTGAATTTGTTCTCTACAGAGAGAGCATTTAGAGTAGATTGGACGTGCATGTTGATGCTGGTTTTATCTAGTAATCTGTGAATAAGACTTATGCTTTGATTCTAAACTCTGTCTGCTACTATACTGAGCTTAAGAATGACTTGCTGCAAGATTCTACTTTAAGAAGTCTCTCTTGAGTAATAATGAGAATGCCACTTAACTCTAAAGACAATCTTGCCAAAATTGCCCTTAACCTATTCGAGATTAAATTGGCCAAAGGGAAAGTTGTTTGATTGGGTTTTTTTACAGAAATTATCTTTTTAGCCTGAGGGGGGTAAAAACAGTTTTGTTTCAAAATATAAAAGAAGAAATTTTCAGAACTTAGAATTATAAGAATGACAAACAAATGGTGAACCTTAATCTCAAAGTTACAGACAAATGTGTTGACCATTTTTAGTGGAAATATGATGGATATCTCATAAAGGTACTTTGAGACAGTTTGTACAATTATACAATATTTCAAATAGACGTGTTTTTAAGTTCAAAGGCGCATAAAAACCACTCGCATCTTGCATTAATGACTTGATTCAAACACTTTAGAATCAAATATAACTTACATGATTTTATAAAAAGGTATTTGCAAATCTATTACAAAGTTCTTTGGCCATTTACATTAATGTTGTTTTAATATTTTTATTTCATGCATACAAGAAGCTGGAATTTTTGTTACAGGTCTAGAAGAAAATTGTGTATTTTTATTATAATTTTAATGTTTCTTGTACTTTGATTTCTTATAAATGAAATGCTTAAGTGATGTGTTCGTATAATTGCTATAAATCTTTAATAAATTTGATTTTATTTAATTTTAGAGAGAAGAATGTGTTTATAATTTTAAAGAGAACATCTCTTCAAAGCAAATGTTAAATTTTAAATGTTAAATGTTTTATTTAATTTATAATGTCTGAATGTAAATTTAAAATTTATTTTGCCATATTTCAGAATAATTTCAAGGTGGCTGTGTTAGGTGCCAGTGGTGGAATTGGTCAGCCCCTGTCTCTGCTGTTAAAAGAGAGCCCCCTTGTTTCTCAGTTGGCACTTTATGATATTGCAAATACACCGGGTGTTGCAGCAGACCTGAGTCACATAAATTCTAAAGCTAAAGTTACCGGTCATCTCGGACCAGACCAGTTGCCAGTAAGTAGAATGTTTTATAAACCAGTTTTTATTCTAACAAGATTTGATGTACTAGTTTTTGTATGAACATATTTCTGTGCAATGTGGCTTGTATCTCATAGATTTATATAAAAGTTAGATACTACTATTATACCTTAACAAAATTTATTATGTATAGAACTGAATGTCAGAAACTTCAAGCAAGGATTGGATAACCTATACCCGTGGGACCAGCTCCAGCCTATGGTGGTTTTCAAGATACATATCACGAGTATAGAACCATAAGTAGCCAACTAGGAAACTAATTTTTGGAAATGGGATTCGAAAATGGCACCAAGCTTTGATTACCCACTACAGTAGAGTCCCGAAAACGCGGCACTTGATAACCCGGCAGTCCGGATAACTCGGCACAAGCTGTTATCCTCCCTTCTTTCTGCAAACAATGATGGTCAAGGTCTTATCCAGAACTTAAATTAACCTATTGGATGTTGTTGGCTGGGTGGCGGACGCCTGGAATGAGTTAGTCATTAACACTAGTTTGTTTCTGGCAAAAACTTCTTGATCACGAGGGAAGTGAGTTCTTTGAATATGATGATGCAGAAAATGTAAACTTACTCGACCTCCTGAAAAGAGTTCCTGGATGTGAAATCCGGAGCTTTATCGATCGTTGCGATTAAGGGCCTGTAGTTTACTTAATTAATTAAAAATCTAATTAATTTCTCCCTTGACTTAAAGTGAAACCTCACTAAAAGGAGAAAAGAAAAATGGCTATCGCCCCTTTCTATTCGAGGTAAACATCCGTTCATTTCGAACTCCAAAGTTGATAGTTAGCACGAGCCACATTCCCACATTCCAACTCCAAAGTTGATAGTTAGCATGAGCCCGGGGACAACTCTGACCCATCTGCGTACCTTTTGCCTCATAACAATCAATCACGTGACCATTCTCCCATGCCGATCTTATAAAAACCCTTTCCTTCCCCTTCTCGGGGGAGTCGTTCCAGAGCAGGTGCCAGGAGAAAATAAATTTAAAATAGTGTCCTTTTAAATAGTGAAAAACTTTCCTAAATCAAATATTGGATAAATTTTCCTCAGTGGATAACAAGTCAAGAGGTATGGAACCAATTATTGTAAGCTCTCTCTCGGTCTCTCCGCGACTTAGGGACGCGAACTAGACGTTGTACTGTCCGAAATTAGCTTTAATAAATTGTTATTTTTAATGTTACGTTTGGTCTCCTATTTGATTCATATATTGTCTATCCCCTTACCGACGGCACTCCTTCCTCCGCCACTCGACTCGCAATCCCGTTACAGCGGGATAAACTAACAAAATTTTAATCCATCCTGACTGTGAACAGGGTTAAACAGCCGTTGCCGGATCGGGAGACCTACACCCTCCCCGGCGGTTCACATGGATGTGCAGAAGCTGATGAAAATGATGTCGAACAGTGGTTCCAGAACGATACCAAGCAAGACATTATGTCCGATGCAGAAATTATTGCTGCTGTCACAGTTAATGAAAAAATGCCGGAAAATGATGAAGACGTTGAGGACTCTACCGTACAAGCTCTTNAGCAAGACATTATGTCCGATGCAGAAATTATTGCTGCTGTCACAGTTAATGAAAAAATGCCGGAAAATGATGAAGACGTTGAGGACTCTACCGTACAAGCTCCTAAAATATCACATAGTGAGGGACTAAAGGCTGTCAAAACTGCCCTTTAGTATTTGAACAAGGTGTGTCGGTAATGGACTTACTGTTCTTTTGTTGTCTTCGTGATGAAGCAGCAAAATGCAGAGTGCATTGCGGAAGACAACAGGACATTATGCATTTCTTTAAAAAAATGTAGCCAGTTTTTGCAAAGTCGGCTAGTTAATTTTCATTATAGACAGCTTTATGCCTCATGAAGTATTTTTCTGAGGTCTGTCTTAGTGTCTTATCAGGTAAATTACTGTACACTGTGTATTCATTAATTTTCATTTTCATGTAGTAAAGGCTCTGTGCCTTCATAAAGTATGTACTTTTCCTTTGATTGAGGGTATTTGGGCAGTTTATTCTTTGTTGTATTCTTAAGCAAACAATACATACAAGTATGGTACTGTATTTTCTGAGGAAACACTCGTACTTATTTTTTTTTTTTTAACCCCATTCCCGATAACCCGACAATTTCACAAACTCAGCCACCCTTCGGTCCACATTAGGCCGAGTTTTTGGGACTCTACTGTACTAAAATTTGCTGTTTTATATAATTGTTTTAAATTTTTTGTAAACATGACCAAGGCAATATAAATAAAGCACATACAAAGCTGCATGAATCAAAACCAAAAATACAAGATGATAAGTTTAAAAAGCCCACCAGGTGGTGATATCTATTCACTCAGAAAATTGTAATCAAAGGGTTTGTTTTAAAGAAGGAAATATATGCATTGGAAATTGATAAGTGACAAATTATAACTTTTGTTATTTTTTGTCAACATCAATAAAAATGAAATTATTTAATAAATGTTATAGATTCAATATTCTATGCACCAGGTGGTAGTCTGCCTGGCATATATGTTGCATTGGGAAACAGTAGTAGGCTTCCTTGTACATTCACTTGTATTAGTCAAATTTGCAAGTACACTTTCAAGAGTATTAAAAATGATCCAAAACTTTGTTTCATTTTCACTTGTATTATGTTTTAGACAATTTATATTAAATACATAAGTTTATAATTATACTTTATGACAGAATAAATTTCATGGTAAATTTTTGGCAAACTTCTTTCCAATTTTTGATAATTTCTTGATTAGTAGAGACTCCTAGAAGTAAAAAAAAGTTACTAAAATAAAATTTATGTAGAAGTTACCAAAACTGACTGAATCTTTTGAATATAATAAAAATAATTGGCTTAGTTTAGTCAGTTGTTCAAAAACAACCACCTAATCAATTGTTAACAATCATGCCAAACATTTAATTCTTTCACATTGTTTTGCAGGTCACGGACCAACGGGTCACAACTCGGCCTGTATTCAACATTGCTAGACTATCGACACACCAAATTTTAAACATTGTATTAACTCCATACAGCGTATACTATGGCTAGTTATTGAAATTAAAAGAAGCTTAAATTGGGCTCAAATATAGAGCAAAAGTGTTTTCCTCCCCTTTTAAAGCTGGATAAAAAATAGTGACTGGTATTTGAGTCAATATGGTATTCCCCTCTTCATAAAACTTGAAAAAATAGAATATTCCATAGTAATATCAGTTGTAATTCTGTTTGTTTTTTCTTTATGGTCTAGTTTATGCTTCATTTTAAATTTAAATTTTTGTCAATGTAATACATGGCTCTTTTTTTTCATTAGATATAATTTAAGATTGTAATTTCATTCTTAATAAAGAAATTATTTTAGTATATTTAAGAATAAAGTTTATTGATACATACCTGATCAAATAAAAACAAAATAACTTTATTAAGAAAATCTTAAGCATTATAAACTGTGCTTCAAAGTTATAATATTTAATGGTCTCAAACATGGGCAAGTTCGGTACACAGAACCTAATATGGAGATCTCCCAAACAAAATGTGCCGAGATTTTTCCCCTTTTTAACATGTAGTGAATCGAGAGAGTGGATTCATAAAAAAAGATTGAAATGTCAAAATGTTACTTTTATATTTAACATAATAGTAAGGATTTACTCATCCAAAAGTTTGGGAATAGTTATGCAAGGTTTGCCACAATTCTTTAATCGTGCAAGAGTGAAACTGCATTATGGAAGTTTCATATTATGAAAGCGTTGCTTGTATACATTACATTTTGAATTTGAAATATCTTATTAATATACTTAATATTCATTTTATTTTTATTGTTCAAAATACAATTTTCCTGCAAGTGATGATGATATATATACTTGTTTGCATTTTCACACCTTCTGGTAAATGCAGGAGTCTTGCAAATATGATCCAATAAGATTATTTGAAAAAGTGAAAGTATAGAGAATGCAAATTATAATAATTGGATTTTGAGGAAAGAATTGGATTAATAACAACATGAATCTCTGTCCATATAATACCTAAGACATCATTTAATGCTATGTTTGAATTTGCCATTTTAAAATTTATATGACACCCTCTAAAGTTCATTTGAATTATTATTAAATTATATTAATTTCAATTTTGTATATAGTCATTTTTTCTCAATCAACTTTTAAGAGTTGAAACTAAATAAAAATTTATGCATACTGAAAAGTTTTTTAAAAATTTAAACATGCCTACTTTGGCATCAGATTCAAAAAGTTTACCACTCTCAGCCTATAGGTTTCAAGTGTTACATGATGTCTCATTTTGTAAAAAATATGCATCATCTTATTGACTTCAATCATAATTTTTTTATTATACATATGAGAAATGATCTACAGTAAAGTGAGAAAATCCTTTTCTGCAACACAATGTTCTGTATTGCTAGTCGTCAATTGTATAGAGAGGGATGGCGAACCTATGACATGCATGCCCAAAGTGTCACATAAGGAGATATAATCTGGCATGTAACATATCATATGATTTTGATTTATTGTCTGTCTTTTTCCAGTTATCCTTTTAGTTTATCAACTGATCAGCTTTTTACATTAAACAAATATGCTTTAATTAGAATAAGTTTCTTTAAGTATTATTATTCAAAGTCTAAAACTGGCACACATGAACATCTTTAAAGCTAGGTTATGCTTACTATATGGCACACTGGCTCAAAAAAGTTTGCCATTCTGGTATAGAGGAACTCTTTGCTACTATTAAGATTCAAGTAATTGATATTTATTTGTTGCCAAAATAGAAAAGTTTGAGGTATTCCTCAAACTGGATGGTAAACTTTTCTAATTGACATATACTAAAATAATGCACAAATTTATGTAACTTGTGGTCTTTTCTTTGTATATAATTTTACTTATTTAATTAAATGATCATTGATAATTAAATTAATTTATTTTAAAGGAATGTCTTCAAAACTGTAATGTGGTCGTCATACCTGCAGGAGTTCCCAGAAAACCCGGAATGACTAGAGACGATCTGTTTAATACTAATGCCTCGATTGTTCGGGATCTGGCGGATGCCTGTGCCCGTACTTGCCCAAAAGCCATGATTTGTATAATTGCTAATCCCGTAAGTAGTTTTTTTAATTAAATATTGTCAATTATTATGTCTTTCAGGAGCAAAATATACAGTCGACTCCCCCCCCTATAAGATCATAGATACGTTTCATTCTTTAGGAATCCGATTTCTTATGAGTCCTTCCAATCACAGCCCGACACATGTCAAGTTTACAGACTACGGCGGTTTGAAAGGTTTTCTTCCGTAAAATTAATCGATTCTAGACTAATCCGACTCAACATTTCTAAAATACGTATATATTTTTTGAGAATAATCCATATAAACTACGCTATAAACAAAAAATTGTAGGATTACTTGCCGAGTGCGCACCATTCGACATCGCCATTGCTCAAGCTTGTTTTCGTCGCAAAGCAGCACACCAAACCGCGGCCGATTTCTGATAACTTATTTTTCTGCGAAAACTTCGTTGACCTTTGGAGACATCATTAATATAAATAATTTTTATGGCCGTTGAATAAGAAACGTTTCTTTCACAAGAAATGTATAAAATTACAGTGCTGTATTAGACTTACGGTACCTAATTTATATATAACTAATATATAATTATATGTACAGTACCTAATTTATATATAATTTATATATAATTATATGTACAGACGAAACTAAACTCAATTTACCCGCCTAAATGTCCGTAGCGTGGCGCTACGGACGGCGGGAAAGTAGTTTGGCTGCCCGATGACGTTTTACGTAATTATAGGAGTTTTTTTACCTTTTTTTACAGATACCGTCGCAATTTTTTTGCAGTTTTATAGGAACCGTAATTATAGGGGGGTCTACTGTAATTAGTAACTAGTTCTAATTTTTTAGTTTATGTAATAGTGTATTTTTTAGCATAAGGCAACTAATTAAATTTGTCTGTCTATAGTGCTAAATTTTCTTCATCTGTTTGTGATTTAATCTTAAATAACACTACCCATTAAATGTTTACAGCTAAATAGGTTGTATCACGGGATAAACATTACAAATGTTTATTTCAATTTCTGCCTATTCAAATGTTTATGTATGTATAGAAAAGTTTGTTTGCTTAAATTTTAAAATTAATTGCATACTTAATCAATTGTCACTCTGCCAAGATCATTGCATAAGGGGAAAAAAATAGATCGGTAATTATTAATTATATTTGGCTAACTAAAATGATAAGTTTATTTGGCTTACATGTACTGGTCTAAATAGTGAGCATGCCAACAATAAAAATTATGTTGAAGTTCTTGGCCAACTGTAGGAAGCCATACAACACAAGTAGTCTGATTTGCAGTGAAGACAAAACAGAGTTCATACAATGAGTGTCTTCATGAATGTTTGTTGTTCTATTTGACAAATATTCAAACAAGAAGAATGTAATGGCGCTTCTTTAATCTCCTTACTCTTCCATTACCTAAAATGGATGAGAAGTCAAAGCGTTTCAGATTCTGATCAGTAGCAGCAATGGAAGCTACCGTGATAAATTGCTTTTAACTATGCATGCATCAAAAATTTAGCTTAAATTGAATTCATTTTATATAAATAGACTTAATGTAATCCAACATTAAAAACAGAATTGAGTTGTCACCATGTTGTAATGCAAGATGTCTTATTATAGTAGAAAAATATTTCTTTGGTATAGATTTTAAATGTAATGCTCCATAATATAGTTTTCATTGGAAATCAACATTAAAAATTTGACCTATAAAACAAAACATTTACAATTTTTAATAATTAATGCAATAATACCATCATTCAAGATTGTAAAATTGGATAACTTCTACTGTTAGATTTTGGAATAACCAATGGTGAGAAAGACTGTTTCTCATCATTGCTTATGCTTAAACAACCATGATACTCTCTATTTTGTCCAATGATGAAATACTGTACATTCATACATAGACTAGCATATGTATTTTTGTTTAGAAATTGGTAATCTATAAGCACATGATTAAAAAAATTGGGTGCTAAAATATCTATACTTCATTAAAAATTGAATTGGTAAGAGTAATTATAACTAATGTAAAAAATTGAGTTTAGATTAATTATTATATAAGAATTATTGTTTTTTTTAGAAAATTTATTATAAATAAAGAACAAAAATTATCATAAATTTGTATTGATATGAAATGTTTCTTAAAAATTTCATGATTACTAGAAACATGTTTTAGTTTGTATTATTTAACTTAATAATTTTTTTTCATTTTAAAGGTGAATTCCACAGTACCCATCACCACCGAAGTGTTCAAGAAACACAATGCTTATGATCCCAATAGAATATTTGGCGTAACAACTCTGGATGTAGTCAGAGCCAATGCTTTTGTAGCAGAAGCAAAAGTAAGTAAATTGTATGAAATGAAACTCATCACAATGTTCTAGAATGTGTATTTTTGTTAAGACAATTACTTTTATTTATACTTTTACATTCTTAATTCAAAATAGTTTTAAAATGCACTACACATCCAAATAATGGCCAAATTTGTTTCCATTTTATATTATTATTAAAAATTATTTTAATAGTAAAATCCAAATTTAATAATAAAATAAACCAGGTGTTTTTGTGGTTTTTCTGTCGTGTTCCAAACATAAACTGTACTGATGGATCTGAATAAATACAAATTTTGAATGCAGACTTGTATTATTACAAAATATTTATGTTATTTCACGAAGTACAGATTTTTGTTAAAAATTATTTTAAAAAAAACTCTCTTGAAAAAATTCCATTGACTGACTTGCATTATTGTAAGTTATTCAGAATATAAAGTTTGAATAGTACATTGTACTGACAAATCTAAATATGTTTATAAGAGAAAATATTTTACAAAAAAAAAGAAGTCTACAATTTTATAGGTTTTTGTTTTTTCTCTTTGATGTATATTTATATAAAAATAATAATTATTATTTTAATAATAAATCCTTTTTAAAGATATTTTACACTTAGAAATAAGAACTTACATGGTTATCGCTCGGTCCCACCTATCACGTAAGTTTGGGGTATTATACCCCAAACTTACGTGATAGGTGGGACCAAGCGATGACCGTGTAAGTTGGTGTATAATTTCACACATAAATACATAAATACAAATAATTTTTAATTTGGGCCGGAGACTAAAGAAAACAATAATTTAGAAAAAATGTTTAATAAAATCTTAAATAATACATATGTATGACAAATTATATTATTATACAATTTTTCATTTAGTCGATTATCACACCATAATTTTAACATTGTTTCCATCTCAGGGATAATATCGTGACATTTACGAATGATGTCGAATTTAAAGATTGAGCATTTTTCACAGCTTCGAGAATTTTTTCTTTACCTTTTATAATTGTTCTGACCGTCGATTCCGGTAGATCAAACTTCTTTGCCAATTCACAAATTTTCATTTTTGTATCGAAGTCTTTAATAATGTTAACTTTACATTCCAAAGATAAAGTTTTTCTTTTCTTGTTTGATGCAGAAGAATCAGTTCTACTTCGTTTAGATGACATAGTAGAGTCTCTCGAGTCTCCGTAGATATAACAAACAGAAATAAATAACACAAAATAAATTGTAGCTATATGTCGATTCTGCACGACAGGTCTGAACACGTAAGCCAAACAATAGTGTGGGGGGAGTGAGTAATCAAGAGTTGCGTGCCACTCAAACAAAAGATGAATCGACGAGATTTGAAAATCGCGTAAGTCAGTGTAGCATAAGTCGAGGTATTACTAGTGCCAAACAGTGCAGAAACTTTTGTATTCTTGTACCAAAGGTAATTTGAGGGTTATTGAATGCCTTGAATACAAAATGACTGAAGATGCTGTGTTTCTGAACATTCAGAAATTGAATAATTTTTTTGTTGTGTGATTTTTAACAAAAATGAACTACCAACAAGAAAATTAAAACCAATTATCCGTTATAGTATATAAAAACATGTGAAGTGTTGATATACAGTACCTTGTGTATTAATCTTAAATTTTTACTAGAATTTGAAATTGAAGTGATTCTAAAGTAAAACAGGTTATATAAATTGCGATCTCACTGTGTAACTTTAACATTCTGATGGAAACTTTTACTTTCTCATTCCTTTATTCCTTACTTAATATGCTTTACTGACCGTTGCAGAGTACATGAAATATTAACTTTTTTATCTTAAAAAAAGTATAAACAATTTTTAAATAATTTAAAATAACTATTATAAAATGCAACACAAGAAACACTGCAAAATGCTAGGGTCGGGCCACCAAAGGGATTTGGATAGAGTACGTAGTATAATGTAATATTGATCACAATGATTAAATTTTCAACATGCTGTCAGTTAGGCAAAATATATGAATTTGAGAAAGAGAGAGAGAGACACTGGCCATTCAATTATCTTTCATGCTTTCAATTTGAGGGCAAGTGCTAATGAACTAGTTTAAAGATGAAAACAAAGTGCAAAAGATAACTAAAATAGTACCATTACTTTTTTATTACGTAATCATTTAAATTTATTTTATTATTAAGTATTTTTTAAATATTTTTATAATTTAAATTAAATTTTTTTATTAAGTAATCATTTAAATTTCATTTAAATGATTACTTAATAAAAAAATTCCAATTAATACAAATCAAAATTAAGTTATTATTTTTTATTAAAAAGTAATATTTGTAAAGGGAGAAATTTAACACTTTTGTAATGGATTAATAGATTTATTTGATAGGGGAACTTTTTAATTACTCATTTTATTTCAAAATTATAACCACAACCATAAAATTATGTAATAGGTTAATTAATTTAATAATTTGATGATTCTAAGAAAACTTATTTAAAAATTATCTTTTTCAAGTTTTAAAACTAATAAATTTTAATTTGTTAGAAAGTATATTCGATTAAAAACAGCTAATAAATTGATCACTTGGTTGAAAATTAAACAAGGTGACAATACAGAAACAAAAATTAAATAATAATAAAGCATAGTAAATGTTTTCTGTTTTTTTTTTTACTTTCTTGGCTATTATAGAATATAATATAAGAAAAGTATTGTGATTTGTCAAATTTTGACCCAGTTTTTTGCATTCTGATGTTTTAACATTCCATCTATCCCCCAAAAAATAAAATAAAATAGACACCAACACACAATTTTGCTTTATTTTGCATTATATTTTGGGGCTGGATTAACTAAAAATGTTATACTTTGCAAGATTATTTTTATATATAGGACACTAGCTGTTACCTGTGACTTCGCCTGTGGAAGTTTTGCAAGCAAACCCCCATTTATATTCAGTATTTCAACATACATAGTAATTATTATATAACACTTACCGCTGAGAATGCAGAGAATTACTAAGAATCAAACGAATTGTTTTCAATTTCATCAATTTTCTGGAACATTGACAATCATTCTATAATCGAACCAATATGCAATAACAAATTCAAATTTAAAACGGTTCGAACATTTGTTTAAAAAATCGAAATATATAAATATTTATAACAATGTCTGAAATGTTATCAATTTAATACACCTAAGTACTTAATGAAGACTAAATGTTGTTAAAAACAAAAAACCGCATCTAAAATAGTACAGTAGAAGCTGTTCTTCAGATTAAGTCTTAATCCTCTCCCTCTCCCCCCGCGGGGGAATTTCGAAAAATCCCTTTTTAGTGTGCATTTTCACGACGTAACCTAACTGTGTACCAAATTATAGATTGATGCTGTTCAAGTACAAGGGGATGGGGAAATGGGATCTTGTTGTGTTGTATCTCAAATGATGTGTCGGACTTGTTGCTGACATTTACAATTTTTTAAAACACGGTCTCTTCCTCAAAAGTAAGCTTTTATTCTTCCTTTTAGCTTAAAATTACTCTTTTTTTTAAGCTTTTGTTGTTTAAATTTTAAATTGTTATTAATTGAAATTTTTCGGATTTCCTTCCCAATCACCTTAATCTCCTTTCGAGTGTCAGGAAAGTCGAGCAAGAGCCCTTGTCAGATTTTTTCTTCCATGTTCTTTACACTTTACTATTTCTATGTTTCTTTATATGGGTATCCAAATACTTGATTAGCCAGATAAAACTCATTTTTTGTAGCTGGGTGCACAACTATCCGATATTCAGCACTAGTCCTATGATATTTTTTGCTTGTCCAAAATAGAGATATGTTAGAATTGATGCTATCTTACTGTGAGATTAACAGTGGGTCAGGGCTTAATCTCTGCCTGATCACTTACTCTGCACAGGCTGGTAAAGCCCGATCTTGGAGCCGTTGGATGGCTAGGAGGGCAAATCGAGTGGGGAGGGAGGTGAGAAAGCTGGCAGGTGCCCGTTTAAAGACAAGAGACAGGTTTAAAAACTAAACAAGCATTTATTATATAACTAACTAGGAAATACAAAAGGTTACAAAAGGTTGGATACATCTAAGAATAAATGCGGATAACATAAGTACGCCTATGGCAATTATACAATCTAGCCTTTCTCTAAAGGGTTTACTCTAATGACTAGTCCTGTATGTGTAGAGAGAGAGAGAGTTCGCTGGTTCAAAATAATTACCTCAAAGTGCTATATGTGGCAATAACAGTTCTTTATGCCAGAGTTGGGCTTGGTCGCTGTCTTCTACCGATGCGGGAGACGTGGAATCACTATGACCGAATATAACTTCTGTTTACGAACTCCCGAGCTTCCGGTGGTCTGCACCTTTTATATCATTGTCATGGGAAAACTGCCACGTGATTGACTTTTGTTGATGATGACAGTGCATTCTTCACACCTAAGTGTCAACTTTCCCATCTACTTGTTATTACAATTGGTGATCTCCAATCTAGTTTCAATTTCTTCGGGTTTTTTCCGAAGATATTTACACTTAACATAAAATTGGAATTTTTTTTTTAAGAGCCCCGTAAAAATCCACGGGCTCATATTACATTTACAATCCAAAACAAGAATTGACAATCACCACATACACCAATAAGACATTTTTGGCTTGATACTTTTGAGATGACAAAACAAAAAGCTATTGCATATTCAGAAGAGTAGAAACACAGTTGCCAAACATGACTTCTTTTTGAAGAATTTAAGTTTTGTTAACAAACACAAAAAATAACAAAAGTATCAAAAAATTTTGATACTTAAGATTTGATTTTTTTTTTGAGGAAACATTTTTAAGAATTTTATAAACTCTTAATGCATCTTAGAATTGAGAATATACATTAAAAATCTAGTTCAACTACAGTCACCCCCTATAACACTGTTGATTATTCCGTTTTATATGAATTCCATGTTGAACAAGGTCACTTAGATTTTACAAATACGTGAGCCATTCACAGCCCGGCACACGTATTTGTAAAATCTAAGTGACTCGTACAACATGGAATTCATATAAAACGGAATAATCAACAGTATTATGGGTGGGTCGACTGTATATTGTAAGTAGAAAAATAAATTATTGTTTATTATTGAATTAGTCATTAGATCCTGCTCAAGTTAATGTACCAGTAATAGGAGGACATTCGGGAATCACGATCATTCCTTTACTTTCTCAAGCGACTCCGTCGGTTTCGTTTCCGGCCGACCAGTTGGATGCTCTCACAAAAAGAATACAAGAAGCCGGAACCGAAGTGGTCAAAGCTAAAGCTGGAACGGTAAGTACCATTTCAAAAGTCATTCGCTCGCGTAAAGATTTTTATGGCAAGTGCTGGATTCCATAAAACAAACTGACACTTTTTAATTTGTTTTAGAGAAAATTTGGTTGGTATTTTAAAAAAAAGAGCAATTTAAATGAAAACAAGAGACTTTCTGGTTCTGACGATTTAAAAATGATATTAAGACATTTTTGTTTGTTTAGATCAGGGATGTCCAGCATCTTGTTGCAAGCCTCTTACAAAACTAAATTTAATTTACTAACCTCCTCCTATGCTGATAAGTTAATAGAAAGAATTTCATTATTCCTTTTTAATTTAATAATAATTGATATTTTTAATAAAATAAAACACACAAATCGAAAATCAATATATAAAATGCGTTCATAAGCAAAACATATGATATAAAGAAATTTGATTTTTTCAAAATAATTATTCAGCTTCAAATATACTCTAATTAGAGAAACATTTAGAGACATCAGCTTCTTTTGTGGATGGCAAAACTTTCTTCAGTTTGTCTTGTGTGAGTTCTGTCAATTCTGAATACTTTTCTCTTCCTTTCTTCTTCCTCTGTTCCAAAAAAAAAAAAATATTTCTATGAAGTAAAAATTTAAACTTGACAAATATGTATTCAAATAGTTACTGCATGTAAGTTTATCTATAAGACTCTCCCAGATTTGATGATAAAGCAGTTTTTAAATTTTTCATTATGTATAAATTTTTACATATTGAAAAATTGCCCAGAGAATTATTAGATGCATTTAATAAAAGTCATCACCAAACTTCCACATCATACTGATGATGGAATATGGGAAAGAATATATGAGTATAAAATACTTTTGGGAGTAATGCTTTAAGAAAGTGTATCTTATTCCAGTATTAAAGTATTACATTGGGATAAAAGAGAGAGAGAATTATGAGAGGGGGGGAAATAATTTGATATAATAGATTTTCAAACCAGCTCAAAGTAAGCAAGTTCTACAGTAATAAATACCTTGAGATATTTACTGATTCATAATTATTATTGTTGTTGCTTAAATTATACAGTCAAAGAATCTAGGGATTTTCGGCTCTAGTCTTGATACTATGCATTTGCCGATACGGTAGAAATTTTGGTTTCGGTTGACAGTATGACTATTTGTACTTATTCCAACATACTGTTGATGGTTGCTCAAACTCTTGAAAAATAACTGCAACAAAAAGATTAGTTTATGTTGTTTGGTGGCCTGTGTGAGATGGATGTAAGGACAAAGAAAATTTTGTACCCAATACAAATATACAAATTAGGGCTGTCCACGAGTTCTGTAACTTCAATGATAGAGAGATTGGTTTACAAATAATTAGATGACTTAAAAATAAATGGGAGTCTTGTCTTAAGATTAAAAAAGCATAAACATTAGAAGAGCCAACATTTATTAAATAATTCTCTGTTAATTTTTGTGTTTTGATGTTCCTTAATGTTGTCAGATATGTCTTTACATAAAAAGAATTGACAGTAACAAGCAATAAAAAAGTTGTATATGCTTTAAAATAATTTTATCATCTCATTCTAATCATCAGCCTAACTCATTTAAATCAATTGATGAGGAAAACTAAGTAATTATATCACCTCAACTAGTTTCTGCTCTCGTTATACATCAATAATGTAAAAAGCAGCAATGTAATAAGATTGAATAAAAGTAACATTCATATTTATTTTTCAGGGTTCGGCAACTCTTTCGATGGCATTTGCCGGAGCAAGATTCACATTTTCTGTAAGTAGTTTTATACTTTTATACTTTTTAAACAAAATGTAAAAACTTCTGTTTTTTTACAGCTGCTTAATGCAATGAGCGGAAAACAAGGAGTCGTCGAATGTTCGTACGTCAAATCCGAAGAAACCGAAGCATCTTACTTTTCGACTCCGATCTTGTTAGGAGTAAGTTGTTTTTTGAATAATCTCTTAAAGGTTTTTGCAGAAGAGAAAAGCAATATAGCAAAAGAATAATGGTTTTGTGAAGTTTGTTAGATTTTTAACTAATTATTGCCACCTGCATCTTTTAATCTTTTGATAAAAAACAAATGAACAGATAAAGATGGACAAAAACCATTAACAACAAGCAATTATTTATTGTAACATTCGTCACAATGCCGGGCTTTAATTTTCAATCATTTTTTAAAAATTTATTTAATTTAAAGTACAGTAGAGTATCGATTATCCGAATCAATTGGGGACGGGTTTGGAAAACCAATTTTTTGGGTTAACCGATTATGTAAGAAAAAGTACATTATTAATATAGTATATTAGTATATCCCAAGTTTAACTTATTCTCCGTTACGTGTTGCTATGCATTGAATTGAATTTTTGTCGATGTTAGGCTTAATATTTTTATAATTATTATTATAAAAATATTAATATTTTTATATTAATATTGTATTGTTAAACACTATGAATAGTGTTTAACAATACAATAGCCACGATTATTATCGTGGCTATTGTATTGTTAAAAACTATTTCTTTACTTTTTAAATATATTGAAAAATATAAAAACAAAAAAATTATACTTTAGAAGTTAATCTAGTATCAGAAACATTTGATTCAGCACGACACGGTCCAACCGAAATGCTTTTGGTGAACCGACGTTTCGGTTGATCGGCATTTGGATAATCGACGCTCTACTGTATATGCTCCCCCACCTCAAATTAGTAGTGTCTTGCCCCTTACATCATACTTATCCTGTTAGCAACAATGTCATGCCATCATCTAATGCCTTATAGTGGAAAAATTTTTTAATTGAAATAACATAACTTTTGGTTTGCATTTGAAGTTCACACACAGTTAATCGGGATCACATGCCTGTAAGATTTTAATACATAGACAGACAGATGGCAGTGGAATTTGTCTTTTCTTAATCTCAAGAACAGTTACAGTGTCTCAGATTTCATCTGTGTCTTTGCAATTTGAAACTTTTTTTTTTTTTCAAATTATAGTCCAATGAAATCATAATTATATTAGTTGCAAAGTAAGTTAGATAATTATAAAAACAAACATTTTAAAATATTAGACCAAATATGCAGCAAGCTTGGGACCAGAACTGGTTTGAATTTCTGGACTCTGTCTAAATATACACTTAAAAGTTTCTTTACTTTCCATTGTTTGTATTTAACAGATGCAAATTAATACACTTTAGTACAGAGTCTGTTTGATCCTTACAAATGAAAATTTAATAAATTCTAACAAATAACTGGAGAGGATCACCTGCATGCAATAGCAGTCACATTTGAATCGGCATTGTGCGACATCCAATGATTCCAAAGCGCCATGTGGCAAATTACAGCTGTAGTTTTGAATTTGGCAGGCTGTAGTAGCCAGTTTCCTGGAGCTAGATTTTTAGTTTGAGTTTTACATATATACAGTGAAACCTCGATCCATCATTCATTCCTGCATAGTTCATTTTACCTCGATGTTCAGTCTGTATTTTAACTAAAAGAAAAATCTTATTTATAATATCTAACCAGAGATTGAGAATAAAAAGATCACCTTGTGACTCCAAGGTTATTCCAACAACCAACATTTCAGTAGATTTAATAAACCATAACATTTTCAACCTAATATGACTGGCAATCTTCAGTGAATTACACCATTTAATATTTAATTAAAAAAAACATACTGAATTTAATGGAAATAATTTAAAAATTAAAAGGTGTTCTAAAGAGAACACTATCACAGGGGAATTAAAATTAACAATTAACCATAAAAATAATAATGAAGATAAATATAAAGAAATATATTATCCTGCATCAATAGAGGGAACTAAATTGAGATAGATGTTTGTGTAGTAGTAATAATTTTTAAATTCAAAGTTAAAAAGTTTATGAAACTTTCCCAAATAGCTCCTCTTATACTGTACTTATCTAATAGGGTAATAAAATACTGTATTGTACTATAATAATGTAATCATGCAAAAAGCAGACAAATGATTGTCTTTTCCTGGATAATTCTTGTGATTAGTGAATGTGTCAGTCATTCAATTGCTATGATTTTATTTTATTGTACATATTGGGTTCATTTTCTGGTAAAACTGCTTAAATCTGCTTTGTTTAAAGACAGTTAAGCCATTTCCACTTAGCTGCTACAGCACTAGTAAAGTGAGGTTCAGAGTGCCAAAATCAGAAGTTAAGATGGTTGCCATCATAAATTATTTGCATATTACGTGCTTAAAATGAAGATTATGACAACCAGTTCCAAATATATTTTTGTATATCAGAAAAATTGGAAATGCACTTTTCTACATAATCTTCTATATTGACATAGATGTCTTCAGATTTACTAGTAATGGCAAATGCGCACATTATACTGTTGTTGTTTACCATATAAGTAATGCATTTTTACACACTATCAAATTTTTTCTGATCAGCTGCCTACAATATATCAATACATTAGGTATTCTTACCAAAAGAAAATAGAAGAAATTATAGTATTCTTGTGTTTAGTCTTCATTGAAAAAATTGTCACGTTTGTGCACAAGTGCCATATTGTTTAGTATTACAGAAAGCCATCGTATAGGTGTATCACTGGAAAATACACATTTCGTATGAGATAAACAATAAAAACATTGATTGATGATGGAAAATGACATAAATTTCTCATGTCAGTCTTTTTTCCCACCAAAAATGATATATGTATATATACAGTGATATCTCAATCTAAAATTAATCGTCTCGTATTAATACGAATCGCTAGGGAAACAGTAGTTAATACAAATTTTTGATGAAGTGAACTAACAATTGTCAGGTTCATGGTTAAGGTTGCATAATTTTCATTGCTTATTAATTCATAATTCCATAAATCTCTAAATTATAATATTTTGAATTAATTTTATTTAACTTTGTTTTGTAAACTAATTTATTTTTAAAATAAATTTAATGTTCTAAATGATTTTCAAATCAAACGATGAGAAAATGCTATTTGCTGTTGAAGTATGGAGCAGTATATCAGAGTGGTTAAACAAAACAAAGCTAAAAATTCATAGATTTTTTAGCTTTGTTTTGTTTAACCACTTAGAATGCCAAATTTGGCTAAAAACAATCATAACTGTAAGAACTCACTGAAATGCAAACTACTGTGTGTTTGCATGGGACCACATCCATTTAAAGCGGTGGATATCCTTAAACTTTAACCCCTATTTTCTGAGTGTGGTAGAATGATTGCTAAAACAATATGTTTGAATTGCTCTACAATCTGAGGTCCAACATGTCTTTATTGCAAGGAAAAAAATCTATTCTACTCAAAATAGAGCATTTATTACAGTACCACTTTGCTTTTTACACTTTTCAATGTGAATAATAATAATAGTAATAATAGAAATAACCCTATTTCTTGAGGGTTCTGATAATTTTTGCATGACAAATTGAACAAAAATGTTAACATTGTGACAATGGCATTTTGCCAGGACGACAACAGAATTTGCTTTAAGGCGAGTCAACTGTATATGAAATTAAACCTATATAAAAAACAGATTTGGTTTTAGTCAATCAACCAATATTGAAGATCGTCTTCCTCTTTCCATCAAAAATTTTTAGTTTTCCCACATTCTCTTGGTCTGCTGTCTTTCATTCATTTTGTATAGCCAAACCATTTCAGGTGTGCTTTTCTCATTCTGCCCATCAGCATGTAATAAAGAACAACTTGAATGACGTCATTTCTTATTCTAGTCTTTCAAGTGATTCAAAATGACAATGTTAACTAAGAGCTGAAGCATTTACTCTACTTAAGATGTACTCTTCGTGCTGGATGCTTACTACCGTGGCAATTGTTTTAAATATTACAGTCTGTAACAAAAGTATAAACACATCTTTAATTAATACAAAACAATAAAAATTATTTATACAAAGTTTCATAATAAGTATAAAATAATTATATCATTTATACAATTTTTTTTAGATTTTGATTGTAATAAAATTATAAACATAGTAATAATAAATAACAATTAAAAATTGTTTTAATATTTTGAAATCCCCTTTTGATGAAATTAGCTGAAATATTCTATCTGGCATTGAGTTTACTAACTTTTTCTTCAGTTAGTGCCTCCCATGCTTCCATAGTTTCCAATTTTAGTTCATTTACACTGTTATATTGATTGTTTCCTCCAGAGACAGCAAACGTTAGACAGCCCCATAGATTTTTGATGGGATTCCTATCTAGACTTCTAGATGGTCAATCAATTACAGTGGAACCTCACATAACAAGTATTTTGCATAATGAGCAAAACAAATTGTAAAAAAACTACTCGCTTAACGAGCGACGAGAAGAGGGGAAGTCCCGGATTGTGCGCATGCTCCACCAGTCTGTGTTTTAGCACTCGTTCCACTAGCATATTCGTGTCGCTCGTGATCAAACATTTTTTCAAACTTGTGTTTGCACATATTATGTATAAACATCAACAACCATAACCTGTAATGCCAAATTCTTGGGGCTTTATTATATATCGTTTGGCATATTTAATTAATTTGACTAGAGGTAGGTAGTTAGTTATGTTGCTATCTCATTAAATTTAATACAAGATAGCAACATAATTCCCTACCTCTAATCAAATTAATTAATTTATAATATTTAATGATAGTCTTTACATAGCCCCAAGAATTTTTCATATCGTTTGGCATGTTTATCAGACATATTATCTGTGATTTTTTGTTTTGTTTTCTGCAAATGGAATTTGCATTCCAGATTGGTTCATTCTATGCTAGAAGAAATGATGATGATGATTCATGCTCCTTAATGTATATTGTATACAGGCATACCTCGACTTACGTCGTTCCCGATTATATGTCGTTTGTCAAAAAAGTACATGGAAAAATAAAAATCAAGTTTAAGTCATTTTATTTGACTTTACGTCTGTCCGCCACAAATATTGAAGTCGTAATATCACTAGAAAAGTGTTTAAAGCACATAAGATCATATTAAAAACTAAAATTTATTTGTTTGTAAGCTTAAAATAGATTTTTATTAACCATATATTATTAAAAATGCAGAACCGGGAATGGTAATTTATGGTTTAGCCTAGTGACAAGTAGATTTGGAGACAAGTAAATTTGACTTACGTCATTCTCCAGGAACCAATTACAGACGTAAGGCGAGGTATACCTGTAATTGCCTTTGAATAAATGTTATATGTAAAATATTTGAGTATTTTTTTGGCATGCATTGTCATATTTTACATTAATTTATATGGGGAAACTGTTTTGCGTTAAGAGTAAGATTCTGAAACGAATTATGTTTGTTAAGCGAGGTTCCACTGTACCTCAATTTTTTCTTTTTCAAGCTATTGTTTTGTTGATTTTGAGATATGTACTGAAGCATTGTCCTGTTACTTCCACCAATTAATGGCCCAAATGTAATTATCAAAAGATGATGTATGACAACTTAATTTTCAGAGTTCATTTTATTACTAATATAAAAACAACGTCTGTGTACAGTGGTACCTCAGGATACGAAATTAATTCGTTCCGAAACTGAGATCGTATCATGAAAATGTCGTAAGGTGGATCATCTTTTCCCATACGATTACATGTAAAACCAAATAATTCGTTCCAACGCGAAAAACATACTCAAATTAAAGCCAAGTAATACATTTAAAAAAATAACTGTAGTAAGAAAAACAAATGAAAAATGCGAACTAATGTAACGTCGTATGGTGAGTTTTTGTTCGTATCGTGGAGCAAAAATATGTTCGAATTTCATGTCGTATCCTGAAAATTTCGTATGCTGGGGCGTTCGTAACCTGAGGTACCACTGTATATCTAAAAACCTGCTCACACCAGCTGCTCTTCTTCCTTGCTGTCTAATATTTTCACTTTTTCATTCTTTCTTAAGTCATGCCAGTAACTTAGACATCTGGTCCATTTAAATTCCATTTTTTTTTCTGTAAATACTATTTAATTCCACTCTGAGATTCAAGACATTTTTTCTTTTGCCCATTGACTTCTAGGTGCTGTTTGTTTCATTTTTGGGAAGGTTACAGTTTGATAATTATTCAGTATTCTCCAAACAGTCATGTATGATACTTTGGTTGGTAGAACAGCTGCAGCTTCTCTCGATGACACGTTGTTGTGTTATTAATTTAAATACTTGGCATCTATGTCTGTCAGTCACACTTTTAGGCCTACCAGATCATTTAATTTTTCCATAATGTTCTTTTTGCTGTAAAACAGGTCTTATAGCAGATGTAGAATGATTCACATTGGCTGCTACTTGTCTTAGTGACTTGCCAGATCCATGCAGTAAATGCATTTTGTGAATTTCTTGTTCTGTTAGACTGCAACCACAAGACATTGTTTAAACAATGTTTCAAAATTTATAAACACTTGAAATCAAATACAGTGGCAATTTTAAATTATTATTGCTCTCTGTTGTTAAAAATAATAAGAGCAACTTAAATTAGTCACTTTTAAGCCTGTGTTTGTAATTTTGTTACAATCCAAAATTACTAGTTTAAAAGTTATTTCAATTTTTTAATCATTTTAATATAAACATTTTTTATATTAAAATTATATTAATTTTTATAGGTTTTTAACCTAAAATTTAAAAAATTCAAAAACAGGTGTGTTTATACTTTTGTTACAGACTGTACAAGAATTCTTTTGAAGTAATTTGGCATTGACTATTGACATATTAGATCTATTGCAGAGTGGTTTAATTTACACAAATTCACGTGCCCTTAATGCCGACTGTTACAAAAAATTTTATAGATCGAATATTGCATACAATAACTTGTCTGGCTGAAGAATAATCTTACATTTGCCAAGAAATCCCACTTGATTCATCTCATAGTTGGCATACAAAATAGATTTTAAAAATTCTCAAAGCAGGTAGAGAGAATGATCATCTCTGTGTTTGGGTTGATTGTGTTATGACAAACAATATCTGGCATAGATCGATCAGATCAAATGTTTGCATTATTATTCATTGCTAAGGAAAAGCAATCACAAAAAAAAATTACATTATATAATGCATGCATTCTTTCAAATGATATATTATATATGTATTCTTGTATGACTGAAATGATTGGCAATAAAATACCAACAATAAAAATTAGAACCGAAGACTAATTTCATTATTTACAGGCTATGCCCGATTGGTATCGAGGACGAGGTTTTAGTGTAGCGAGACCAGAAATATTTCACACACAAAACAAAATATTTTAACAGAATAAACACACACACAAGTGATTTATGCAGGAAAGAAAATCAGAAATTTTTCTGTTATTTCAGATACCAATTACCTATTTGTAAATAATATACGCTTCTGGCACTAGGGTCCAGTAACAGATTCCTACGATTTGACTCGTATTTGGCAGTCAGTGTGTTAATCTCTTTACTCAAATTTGTTTCTGTTGAATCAGTTCAAAGTGAAAGTTAAAATGAGTTTGATAAATTTTAGGAATTTAGTTTTATTTAAATTGTGAGCTTTTATAATTTTTTTTATAATACTTACTACTACAAAGATCGAATTAAACAATATTTTAATGAAAAACTCCAAAGGCTGAAGTTTTATTTAATATCATTTGCACTAAAGAGTACCGACGTGCGGAAACCCCCACGGCCGATCTGTTCATTTTTAATCATAAGCCAACTTCTTACACTGGTGTGCAAAACTTAAGTACGAAAGTAACGTTTGCGTGTTGTGTCACTGCCAAGTAACATAGCTCGATGAAACTTGGTCCATACATAGAAAGAACTGCTACAGTATAGTACAGGAGGTAACTGACAGAAATACGCAACGAGACAAACAGAAATGACACTTTTATTCAATGACAATAATTACACTAAAGTCACTGCGATTTCTGATGGTCCCATAGACATTACAAAACGGCAGGACATGATTCTTAGTAGGGTGTGTGATCACCACGGACGGCAATGCACGCTCTGCAACGTGCGCCCATAAGGTTGGTAAGGAGTTCCTGTGGTAGGGCGTTTCACTCCTCTACCAGTGCAGTTGACAACTGCTGGATGGTTGTTGGTGTGTGTGGACACGCTGCAATACGTCTCTCCCACACGTGCTCGATGGGATTTAAGTCGGGGGAACGGGCAGGCTAGTCCATTTGCCGAATATCATCTTGCTCCAAGAGCTCCTCCACCTGTGCTGTTCAATGCAGTCGAGCATTGTCATTCATAAAAATGAAGTCAGGGCCGAATGCACCTCTGAAAAGATGCACACGGGGAAGGAGTACAGTGTCACAATAACATTGACCAGTGACAGTACCGCATTCAAAGTTTTGGAGGTCAGTATGCCCATGCAACATTATGCCTCCCCACACCATAACACCTTGACCACCAAAATGATCACGTTCGACAATGTTCCCGGGTGCATTACGTGTTCCCACCTCTCGCCATACGAGGGTACGTCCAGAATCACTACTCGACCGAACCCGCTCTCATCCGAGAAGAGCACACCACCCCGCTGCTCATTGGTCCAGTCCCTATGCTCTTGGCACTGTCGTAAACGGAACGCAACGTGCCGGTCGTCTGGCAAAGAGATCACCCATATGCAGTCGCCGTGCCACCGCGGAGCGTGAGATTGCACGCCTTGCAGTCCTGTTAAATGTGGTTGCACATTGACACGGGTCCCTTATTGCCCGTTGCACAATGTAGCGGTCATCTGCTGCCATAGTTGATGGTGGCCGACCACCTCCTCTCCTTTGGGTAGCAGTGCCTGTGGTTTGGAACGCTCCCCATGGACGTGAAACAATGCTGCAAGCAATACCAAACTCCTGGGCTACACTTCGTCCTTCTTCCAGTCTCCCAATGGTTCTTCCCCGTGTGAAGTCATCCAAATGTCGTCTCTGGGCCATATTGTAATGAAGAACACTACCACAATGCACCGTAACTGCTCACCGATTGGCACACACTGTCTTTTACCATTTCTTCAACTTGTGTTGTGTGGCCGGCCGCATTTGGCGCTATAGTCGCGCCGACTCGACATCAAGCTTTCTGCGCACAACCGAGAGATCTCTGGCAAGATGCTCCCGCACTTTCATTCATTTCCACCGAGTTGTTCATAAGTTCTGTTACTCTATCTACCTGGTCTTTAAGTTTTGCACACTAGTGTATATCAAAAGCACTCTAACAACAAAAATTTAAAATTTTTCCTCGTTACCACAAGCAATGAAAATGAGCCAACAATTGTACTTCGGTGTTTCTACGACGGCCGTGCTTGGTACAGTAAGCCAAGCCATTTGCTCAAAGACTGCTATCCTAAAGAAAAGCTCTCCACGCATTATGGAAATTGACAAACGGGCAAACTAACATTATTTGATCTAGGGTTTCGAGGTCACGATCTTCTAAGTGCGGGCTAAGGTTACAAATTTAAACGAAGCAACAATCAAATTATCATTCAGGCACTAAACAATTCTAAGCTTTCTTTTAGGTAAGCGCAATAATGATATTTTTATTTTACAGCCAAACGGCGTGGCCAAGAATCTGGGAGTGGGTAAACTGTCGTCCTACGAATCCGACCTGCTGAAGGCGGCGATTCCGGAACTGAAAGGAAACATCAAGAAGGGAGAAGACTTCGTGAAAGGTTGACGGGCGTAATGGGTGGAAGGAAACCGCCACGGCGCGGTAACTGTACAAAATAGAAACATTAAACGGACAGTAGAATTTATACGGTTTGTCATTTCCGTAGACTTACGCCAACCATTTTGGAAAAGGCGGCATAGGTTTATAGGCTAAGGGGTTCGACTCCACCAGTTGTACTGTTGTTAAGTACTGTATATTGTTAATAATAAACACGCGCTTTAATATTTTTCAAAAACGCGTTTCCAATGGTTACGCAGTCGATGTTATTAATCTGTTTATAAATGATAAAAGCTAATGCAATCAAAACATTACTTTTAAATTTATAATAGCCAAATCTAATTGGATTTATTGATTTAAAAAAGTCAAGCACGCAACCATTGCACAGTAGTAATATTTTTAACTTATTAAATATTTCGTTATTTTGTTAAATTGTATTAATACTGCAATTTCAGTCCACCCGTTCTTAACCGGTTTTAAACAAATTTTTCTTCCCGAATATAATCAATAATAAATGCTATTTGATAAGCTTTTCTGCACGGTGTTCTAAACCTACTTTTATCAGCTATAAGTAATAGATATGTATATATCCATGGTGCGGTTTACTTTATATTACTTTTAAAAAATCAATTTTTCAAAAATATTTCCTCAAAATTGATGAAAAAACTTTATGGGTTAATTGTACATAAATAACCCCCGTTTTTTTGCCTGGACCGCATTTAATCAGAGACAAAGCTTTTATTTGTATTCTTTATTTATTTTCTATGCCAGAAACTTAAAAAGCTATTCGGATACCCAATGCCAAGTGAAAAAAGAAAATGGGAAAGTAAGTTAATAGTTAATAAGACAAAACTATACCAGCAAATATAACTAACATACTAAAACTAGGACTAGAATACAATATGCCACTAAACGATAAAGCAATTAATATAATATCCGAAATTGACAAAGCGGTAAATCAGATAAAAATAGAAAATAGGTGTAATTTAAAACATCAAATAAAAGAAGACATAAAGAAACTAAAAAGAAACAATGAAATAGGGAAGATAATGTCGAGAGATAGGGGCGGAAAAGAGTATTCAAAAAAATGCGCAATACCAAAAAAATACTTGAAGGATAATAACCTTAACATAATCAAAGCTGATAAAACTAATCAAATCATCATAGTGGATAAAGAATGGGAAAAAATGAAAAAATCTGAAATAGTGTTAACGAATGACTTTGTTGAACTAACAGAAGAACCAAAAGAAGAAATTAAAAAATGGATGAAGAAAGAAATCACAAAATTGTATAAACAAGGAAAGGTAACACCAGCTGAGAAAAAACAAATACTAAACTACAACAATATCAGAAAACCGCAACTTAAAATAAGGCTAAAAACACACAAAACAGGAGATATATGCAGGCCATTAGTAGACTTTAAAAACACAATATTATCTAATTTAGAACTATTCATAAAGAAAAAACTTAAAATAGTACCATATTCAGATTATTCAATAAAAAACACTGACGAATTAATAAGAAAACTGATGAGAATTAAAATGAAACCGACGTATAGGCTACTAAGTCTAGACATAATCTCTATGTACCCGTCAATAAAATGGGAATTAATTGAAAAAAGCCTAAGCAACCTAGAAATACATAACTGGCTACTGGAGTTAATAAAATACAGCTTTAAAAACAATTATTTCCATATAGATGAAAAAATATATAGACAAAAAATGGTATTAGCATGGGGACAATAATCGGACCAAAACTGGCAGAAATATGCATGAAAGAAATAGAAAAAAAGCTGGCAAAACTAAACGGAATAATATTTATGGCTAGATATGTGGACGATATCATAATATACGACAATGAAATAACTAGCGGAAATATAATATACAACTATGCAAACACGCTAAGCAATACCATTAAGTATGAATGTGAAACAGAAAATAAAAATGAAATAAACTACTGTACCTAGATAAAACTATAAACCGTGCATAAAACTCACTCAATATAAAGCCTTACAAAAAAGCAGCAATGCAGACAAAATCCTTAATTATAAGTCGTACAGTCCTATTACAGTAAAAAGAAACATATTTATAACAGCAATAACTAAAATTTGGAACAGAACATCTAAGGCAGAAGAAAGAAAAACAAAAAAATGAACTAATAAATACCTTCATATTGAACGACTATCCAAGCAGATTACTAAAAAAAGTGGATAAATGCATTTAAGAAAAACAGATTCAACGTTAAAAATAAGAATGAGAACACTACATATACGTCGTTCCCCTATATTAAGGGAACATTTGAAAAATACAAAAAAATTTTCAGTAAGCACGGTGTTACACTAGCGGCCAAATTAAAAAATAAAATTAAAAACATCATCACCACCAATAACATCAAAAATAACGAAATACTAATCCAAGCAGGTGTCATATACGAAATAAAATGCACATGTAAGAACCCAGCAATATACAGTACATTGGAGAAACAGGAAGACAACTCGGTACCAGAATTAAAGAACATAAAGCAGCAATTAGACTTAATTATAACCAATCACCGTGGACAAATCACTGTAAGGAATTTGGATGCACAATAAACGAAAAAAGTATAAAAATTATCCATAAAGAAAAAGATATCTATCTACGGAAATTCAAAGAGCACTTGGAAATCATTAATAAAAACAAAACCATAAACCTAAATGATGGAATGGAGGTTGACGACGTGTGGGAGGAGCTAAAGGGAAAGAAAACAAAAAGAGGGGGAAACGGTCTAAAATGCCTTAGGGGACATAACATCAACACTGGGCAGATGTCCATCTAAAACTTAAAACAAGTTAGTTAACCGTTGTATAACTATTGTAGTAATTTACCGATGTAATAATTAAATTTACCAAATGTATAGAAATGTAAAAATCCTGAAGAGGGGTGCAAATTACAAGAAAATATTGCACCCGAAATGCATAGAAAATAAATAAAGAATACGAATAAAAGCTTTGTCTCTGATTAAATGCGGTCCAGGCAAAAAAACGGGGGTTGTTTATGTACAATTAACTCATAAAGTTTTTCGTCGATTTTGAGGAAATATTTTTGAAAGTACTACTATTATCAGTTTTTCAAACGTGCTCGTCGATTTCCGGAAGATTAGAGGAGCGAGCTAATTTATAACCGGCCGGTCGGTCCGGAAAACAGGCACCGGCGTAACAACCGTTTTTCTCTACGTTCATTTCAGTTGCGGCCGTTAATTAATTAATTAAACTCGTACGGCGACTTTGAAATCCAAGTAAAACATGAGCGTCGCCCACCGACTCACGGGATATTGTCGAAAAAATGGCGGAGAAGTTTAACGGCCAAAGTAAATAAACAAACTATTTTAAAGTGTTTATAGCGTGTTTAATAACACTAAATAATTGTTTTTAATTATCGTCGGGTCTCCTACAGTACGATAGGACTACCTCCGTACTTTTGTCCAGCTTATGTAAATTCGAAAGCGGCTGGGAAAATTATTTTTAGAAAGATTACGAACGTATTACGCCGTTGACGGTAGAAGATACTGCCAAAGAACAAACCTACTCCTACAATTATGAACAGAAAAACATGTAAATTCTGTAGGCGCTTGGCATCACTCGCAAAAAAATTGAATAATTTTTGGATTAAAATCGTCTGTTTCCTTACAATGTTATTCGTAAATGCTTAAATAATAATAATTTTAATAAAATAGGTCGTAATTTTAACCCCAAACACAAAAATGAAGTTTAAACCGATCTTCTCCCCCTGCTAGACGTAGCCAACGCCGTTATCGATCAACCTTTCTAGAATTGCCAGACGGCGACGTTCACGTTTTGGGCCGAAAACGTCGGTCGCAACCTCGCTAATAATGTTACGAAAAACTGATTGGCCGTATAAAATTTCGGTTATAGGCCCGCGTCACACTGGATCAGACAAGACACTCGATTAGTCCAGACTTTTTATCTACGGCAGGGGTGGCCAACCTTTTGACAGACGAGTTCAAATGCGCCATATAACACTTTTTACACAGTCTTACGTTCAATGTTAGGGGTTGATAAATAGAGATAAGAATAAATCTGCTTCGCTTAGGAAAGAAAAGGAAATAACTTAATCACGCAGTTGAATTAATTAATTTATGACAGTTTATTGAAGCACCAATTTATCTATACAATAGTCAACAATCATCTTCTGTACGAGAGGGTGATTGCTTCGTGAAGGTGCTATTGCTGCCAGAGTCTCGTTTGGTGAAGATTACTCTGCACCACAATTATTGACACTGAGAACGAGATCAGCTTGGAATAACTTTAATCACAATAAATGTTTTCGGCCACTTACACGCCTGTAAACTGATCGGAAATAAAGATGGCCAGACTCAAAATACATGCGTACATTGTAATTTACTATGTGGAGAATACTCGTTCTATCTGCAAAATAGACCGTAATTAAACCCTCCGTTCTACCGTCCGCGTAAATTAAAACTTCTGCCGCTTACAAAAAGGGATTGCCACAATTAATTTCGTACGTTAAGCGAGGGATGTCCGTACTCGGTTGTATACGTTTTACTCTCGTCCTGTCCGGTGCGATGCCGGCTTTAGCCAAAGCTACTTGGAGGGGAGAAGGAAAGCATTGTTGACAATACTGTAAGGTACGCGTTTATCGTGGGTGGTAAGTTGTTCGTTGCACGTGCGGCCCACAAAACGGTTAGTAAATTAAAACAGCCGCTGGTTTTCTTTTCTAATGTTCGAAATTATTGTCTTCCCCCTATTTATACAGGGTAAGTCGAGAAAGTCTCCCCAATTTTAAAAATGGACTTACGCGAGCCTGTGGTGTGCCCATCGAGCGTCTGTAGGGACCGTAAGAAACTTTCGGAGTTTCTACGTACACTTAGGTGTTGGTCGAGATATCTTAGGCAGTGGCGTAGCGTAATGGGGACGGAAAAAATTTCACAATAAACAATAATATCTTGTAAAAACCATTTTATTTCATATTTTCGTCGCACCTACGATTCGGACCGATTGAAACGAGCACGGGGAATAGTGTTACCGTCCGGACAGTCCGGGAATTGACTCAGACTCACCGTCTGAGTCAA